CTGGGCCCGGCCCCCGGGGACGAGCGTGTCACCACCCCGCGGGGGGACGCGGGGTCGTGGATCAGCTGCAGCATTGGGGTGGGCGAGTTGGGCGGGGGGGTCAGGGGCTCCTCGCAGCTCCGCAGGGGCCGCAGCACCTTGGCTTGCGCCGTATCATCGTCACTCTCCTCCACCTTACGCTTCTGTGCGGAATGGGGGTGGCTGGTTAGCAGGTTAGCCTGGGGAAGGCTTTTCCCTTCTCTTCTTCCCCAAGGGTACACCATGGTGCTGGCAGGACCCGCACCAGCAGTGCCCAGTGAAATCACAGAATGGTTTGGGTTAGATAGGGACACCTTCCACTAGATCAGGTTGCTCCAAGACCAATCCAACTGGGCCTTGAACACTTCCAGAGATAGGGCATCCACAGCTTCTTTGGTCAATCTCTGCCAGGGTCTCACCACCCTTACAGTAAAGTAATTTCTTCCTCACAGCTCATCTAAGTACCACAAGGACCAGAATCCACCCACACCAGTAACAAGCATTTTTTCCTAACCTATTCTCAAAAGGGGCATCCCTTGAGGTTGGGGGTGGCTTCCACTCTGTGGCTAACAGTCTCTTACAGTGGAATACCTCAGGATTGCACTGCAGCATGATGTGCCCAGGCCCCCAACTGTTGCAACCCCATGATTCTCATTCTCACTGGTCAGTGCCCCCCCACCCCCAGCCCATGCTGATTGAGCACATCCCTGGCAGGATGCAGCAGGATGGATGCAAATCCTGCATTGCCACAGCACAACTTCTTACCTGGCCCTTCTCTGCATCGTCACCCTGGTAGCACTTGGGGCACTCCCAGCAGTTGGGGAGCTCGTCATTGAGCAGCCCTTCCCCATCCATCTGCAACGAGAGGAGGGGGTCAGCAGCAGCCCAGCCCCACAGCAGAACCCCCTTTGCCCAGCACAGTCCCTGCTCACCTGCAGACAGCCAGGGTGAACGATCTCATTGCAGATACAGCACTCCATGAGCTTCTTCTCAAAGTCCTGCGAATCCTCATTCTGATCCACCTCCCCACAAAGTGCACACGTGACCGAGTGAGGCAGCCTGGGCTACAAAGGAAAGCAGGGCTGACACCACAGCATGATGGGACAGCCTTCTTCCTTTCCCTCCCTACTACCTGAACCAGAGAGGCAACCAGCTATCCCCCAGGAATCCAACTTGGACTCACCGCCAAGCACTGCCGGAGGACACAGGACTGCTTCATGCGGCCAGGCCCGCCAAACTTCTTCATGTCCCTGCAGTAGTGGCACATGCCACACTCGCCTTGCATGCAGGCCTTGCATTTCCGGCACCGCACCCGCCTCCGCCGGGCGCCCGACACGATGGGAGACACTGTAGACCTGACGGGAGTCGGGCGTGGTGCTGGCTTCATGGTGTGCGGCTTGGTGATGGGGATGGTGGGCAGGCGCACCCGCAGCCGGGCCTGGAGCTTTAGCTGCCAACAGGAAGAGAGGGAGTTGGGTGAGGAAAGGAAGCGCTGCGTTTTGCTGGGATCTGGAAAGCTCTGATCCCTGGATCTGGCACTACGACTTCAGGTAATGTGCCAGAGAACGGCTCTGCCCCCTCAGCGCTCTGCAGCCAAAGGTGCATGGATCAGAGCTGACCTGGCACTTCCCCTGAAGCACATTCCTTAATCCCTCACAACAACCCCACACCAAGAGCTCGCCTTCTTCTAACCCCCTGTTAGGGCTCAAATGGGTCTGGAAAGGGCTGCTGCGTGCCAAAAGCATCCCACAGCATCCATGCTTTCCTACCAAGGCAAGGAATGACAAGATCCGCCCAGGCTGTCCTCTCTGTGTCACTCTGCTAACTGAGCAAGGGGACAGCTCTGGCTGCCCTTTCCTGAGCTCCAGGCACACTGGGAACACCCACACCTTCCTTGTTTACAGTGCAGGTAGAACAGCACAGCTCTCCAGCTGTCACCCTGCATCCCATCAGCCCTCACAGGAAATCTGCTGGCTGCAGCATCCTTCTGGGATTGGCTGGGTGTGCACCACAGCTGATGGGCTTGGGGAAGGGCAGGATCCCAAGGATGGGGTTGGGGATTATGGATGCTGATTGTAAGAAAGCAGGCAGGGGAGCACAGAGCCTGTGTGAAACTAAGTCACACAAAGTTCTCACTCTGGCCTGAGTGTTGGTTTAATGACCAATGAGAGTTTTACCTCTTGGACCTGTCTATAAAAGAAGATCTGGAATAATAAAACTTGCGCTCTTGTGCAACCCAGAAGAGAGTCAGCGTCGTGCTTTGTCGTTCCCAATATAGTGTGATGGGATGTGCCAAGCCTCTGAGTGCTGCACCCAAAGAGTGCACACATCTCCAGGTCACTTTTCCCAGAAAAGCTGCCCAAGATGCTTGTGCTGCACAAGGATCACGCTGGATCCCCTGGGCAGGGCAGGCAAGCTGAAACAGGCACCTCCAAAGGTCAATCCAAGAGGGTCATTTGTCTCCGGACTCCCGAATGGGGTGTCACCCACCCTTCCCAGCATGAATGGGTCCTGCTCTTCCCATAGCCTGCCTATGAGCCCATCTCCTGGCAGGAAGGAAGAAGTGACCTCTGGGAGCCATCCTGGCAGGCCACAGGAAGGCAGCCTGCAGAGGGGAAGTCCGGTTGCTCTGTGCCTCCATCTGCCCAGTGAGCTCAGCCCAGGCTGCTGCCCAGCTGTGGGCCCTGGGCTATGAGCGCAGCTGGACAGGGAAAGGCAGGGATGCATGGAAAGGTCCCACTGCTGAAGAGCTGGCTGCTCTCCACAGGGAGAGATTCCCAGGAGAGAGCTGCCTTGCCTGGGGTTGTAAGACCCAATACTACAACAGGGACACAAGGGACATGTTCACCTCACAGTGAGGGGCTGGACTGTGCTTGACCATCAACCCCACACCTCACCCACCTCTGCCACAGAGAGGCTTTCTTCCTTGACACACAACATTCCTCAGGCCATCCAGGTCTCCCTTATCAATCCAGGGAGCTCCTGGGAGAGCAGGATCACCCCTTCCTCCCCCAACAAGGCTCAAGCTCAAGCTGAAGCTGTTCTCCAAGACCAACCAAAGAGCTGGAAAACACAGAGCAGCTGGGGCTGATCTGGTTACCACCCATCAGCTGAACTGGGAGATCTCTGGGTTTGCCCACAGTGCTGTGGAGGTGGCTGCACCCCATATCCCCGTTTTGCACTGCTCCCAAGGCGAGTATGGAAGTGGTGTCACCACACCCCATGCCCGGGAAACTACTCAACATGTGACACCCATCTGAGTCTCCTCCGTGCAGCTCCTACCTTATCTCTCTTGGGCCACTGGACGATGGGGACGCCTGTAAGTGCCAGTTTGGGGTCGCTGTTTGCGTATTCTTCCAACAGCAGCTAATGGAGAGAGAGGAGGGGGAACACAGCAGAGAGACAAAAAGCACAGGTGTGAGCAGAGGGAAGCACGGCTCCCACCAGTGAGGCAGGCTCCGACCAGATGCCAAGGCCAGCATGCTTCAAAGGCAGCTGGGAAGGAGCCTTCCTCTCCTCACACCCGCCAGCAACCATCCCTCCTCCCCACATGAGACAGACAAGCTCTGTCGAGTCGATCTGCACCAGCGCTTTCATCAACTGCATTTCAGCCCCGAGGCCCCATGCTGGGTGGTGGTAGAGGGGAAGAGCGCCAAGATTCAGCAATCTAGGGGGATTTTGGGAGTAGGATTCACCAGCACTGCCCCCCCCCAGCTGCTCCCCAGGCATGGGGCATCCTGGAGGGTGCAGCAACAGCAGAATGTGATGCCCCAGCACCCCCTCTGTAGCCTGGTACAAGCTGCCGGCAGCTGAGAGCTGCTCCCCCGCACTGCCTTGGGGTTTGGCTTTGACTCGGAGGAAGAGATCCCTTGGCACCGACCAGACTGGCACGGACTGGCATGCTGCCCTCCAGCGCGACAGCCCCTTGCTCCCAGTATGTGGAGCTCCCTCACTCACCCTGGTCCTTTCAGCACTCTCCAGCGCAGCCCCCTCCCCACATTCACTCCCCACTGAATTACCCGGTTGCAAAGGTGCTTTATTTACTTGACGTTGCCATGGTTACGCAGGCAGGGGCCTCCTGCCGGCATCCTGGCGGGCGGTGCTTCCCACTGCCAGGCAGGGCCAGGGCAGGGGGTGCCCCGCGTAACCCCTGGCCCGTTTTTCGGGGTGTCTGAGGAGGCAGGAAGCCGCAGTCTCCCCGGGCTCCCCAGCAGCGCAGCATGCTGCCTTCAGACCTTCCGCCTCCTCACGAGCACATGCCAAGGGAAAGGTCAGGGCTCAGAGCTTCCACACGAACATCCGAACATCCGTGGGACCGCAGCGTCTGCCTGCCCGTGGCAGCGGGGACGGGGTGGGGGCGGCTCAGTCATGCTCCCCGCTAGGGAGCCAAGGGACTGCGGGGACTCCCGGGTGCTGCGGCTGCATCTGGCTCAGAGCCGGGGTGGGCGACAGCCCGTTGGTCCCCTGGTGCTGCGTCGCGCGGTGGTCGGGGGGACGCAGCGGAGGGGACCCTGCACACACGCGGCTGGAGCGCCTCGACAGCGGTACCGGCGAGAGAGCCCCG